TTATATAGGAAATTTTCACTTTTAATTAAAGTTTATAGAACTACACTTTTTCTCAGTGAGCTTCTGTATACTCTGTCCTATCATTGATGACATTTTAATTATTCTGATACATCTGTCACAACTGAAGAACCAACATTGATAAATTACCAGAAACCCTAAACTCTGTGGTTTTTACCCGACTTCTATTTTTGGCTCCAGAATTTCATCCAGGATCCTACAATTCATTTGGACATCACATCTCCTCAGCTCCCTGGTCTGTGCCAGTTTTTAAGTCTTGCATTGTTTTTGATGACCTTGACCGTTTTGCAGAGGACGATGAAGAATTTTTGTAGACTGCCTTTCAGTTTGTGTTTGATGTTTTTTTCCCCTTGTTAGACTGGTAGGTTTTTGGAGGAAGAATGCAGAGGTGAAATGGGCTCCTCGCTGATGTCCCCCTTGGTCATCTGGGTGACCAAGGGAAGGTTTTCCTGGTTACTCCACCATAAAGGGGTTCAAGGAGATCTGCATAAATGGAGAGACATCTGGTGTTCATCAGCCAGAGGGCTTACTGTTAAGCTGGCGGCACTCCCCAAACTGCTGTACACGTTCAGTGCATCTCTTAGGTGAGGTCAGCGTGGTCACAACTCCCGATGCCCCATCTACTCCCTGAGAGGTTATTTTGCCAGATTTTCCACCTGGCACTGCCTCTATTCTCCCTTAACATCCTGCTTCCAACTAGGCAACAGCCAGGGCTTAGGAAAGAGTAGGAAATGGCTAATTCAAGGACAATGACTGCAAAAGGTCAAGGATAGCGAGAAGGTGCTGGAACTGACCTTGTTCCCGAGAGGTACAGCCTGAGAGGCCACCTCCCCAGTTTAAGCATCTCCAGAAGCTAACATTCTGCACTGGATGCTGACAAAATCCCAGGGTGGCTGCCCTGCCCTCACTTGCACCAGCTGGTTGGAACTGTCATGCTATTCCGTGTCTGGCTGAAATGGCTAGGGCTTGTTGATCCGTCTCCATCAGCTGGGAATGTGGCCTCCCAGGAAGGGTGGCCCATGAGGAGGCTGTGGGTCCACTGAGGCAGATCTTGGAGGCGCTGGAGCCCTTCCCTGCAACTGTGGCATCCAGGCCTTTCTCACTGGGCTCACGGTCCACCTGGGAGTCAGCTGGCAACCCTGCAGCGCCCTGCCAGAGCCCAGCATCTGGTCACGTGCAGCCTGCAAGGCAGGTGACATCTGCATCCTCGCCTCCCTGGAAGGCCCTGGCACATGGGGACGGCACCACAGGGCATATATATATATATATATACTGGCGAGCAGAAGCTAGAAGAAAAGACGGACTCTTCTGGACTTCCCCAAGGGCTGCTTTGATTTCCACCCAGTTTCTCTCAGACCTCATCTCTCTGGCAAGCCCAATTCTCCAATTCTCTAGCACTCAGCGTTCTTGAAAAATATCCTTTAAGACACAGAGAGGTGAGGACGGTCCTGTGAACACCTGAGGCTTGCCCAGTGAGTGGGGAGTCTCCTGTCCCCCGGTAGGGGACTCATCAAGAAGCCCAAAGTGGCTGTAGAATCCCACAGAAACAGGCATTGTCAAGATGCTTCACAAATGTGACTTTTTTTATTACAATATTTCAGTCTGGATCAAATTCAACCCCATAATGTAGTGATTTGCTTAATGACTGCAGAATATTGTCTTATCTGAGGAGAAACAGGACATTTTAAGACCACAGAGCCCAGAATTAACAGCTTGGATTTTTTGCCATGCTGGCTGTTAATTGACTTAAGCCATTAAAGGGAGAGAATTTTTGGCAAATTCTGAGGTCCTCGTACAGGCGAAGCCATGGATGTGTTCAAATCATTTTGAAATAAGTGTCTGGTGCACCAACTATTTTAGAAAAATGGGCTATTTAATCAGGAGGCTTGAAAAAGCCTCTGAAGCTCCCACATAAAATAGCTGAGAACAGTTCTACTCCATGGCCAAACCAGGCCTCTGAAGGTGAAGTGTGAATCCAGCAGGAGCTCGAGACACTGCTTGCATGTTTTCTTGGGAAGTATCCTGGGACCTTGCCACCCAACTCAAAACCAGGCCTAAGCGCAAGGTCCCGAGTTCGAGCCCCGGTACCAAAAGTAAAAAATAAATAAAAATTTAAAAAACAAAGAAACCAGGGCTGGCTCTGCTGTTTTCTTGGCGTTGTGGGTGTCCCCTGGCATGGCATGCACCAGGGTGACTAGGAGGGCCACATGGTTGAGGCCAGATGCCCTCCAGAGTCCTCTTTCCTACAAGATGGATGGAGCTTGAAATGAGGACCCTAGATCTGTGGGGGACAGGGGGACAATGTTTTGCCTCTCTTCTGGGGTCAGCGGAGGAGGCTGAGGTGAAGGAGCAGGCACAGGCAGGGGCATCTGCCCTGTTAGCACTTCCCCGAATCAGCCCCAAATATTGCTGCTGTGCGGCACAATGATGCTGACTCACAGAGGCTGAATCCCTGTCTGGCTGGGGCCATTTAGAAAAAGCTCATGATTTTCATGGCATTTTCCCGCCCACAGCACCCTGTGAGCAATCCCCTCCCTGCCTGGGCAGGTGGGGTCTCCTCTTAGTGCTGGACACTCAGCTGGGAGAAGGCTGCTGTGTGCTTCTTCTCCTGGGCCTGGGCCCGGGCCCAGGGATGTGGCTGCTGCTCTGAGAGCTAATGGCCACTTCCAGCTGCGCTCTGGCATCTCAATAGCTGGGCCATGGAGGGCAGGTGCCCAGGCAGCACCCACAGCCTGATCCTGGGGAGGGGGCTCCTTGAAGTGCATGAAGCAGGTTCTCCAACCACACATGGGCGGAGAGCCTCAGGCCAAGTTCAGCAGAAAGAGCTTATGGAGGAGATTCCAGGAGCTGGACAAGGGGACAGGAAGCAGTGTGGGACTATCAGGAAGTGAGAGCCAGGGACCTCAGAGAAGGCACAAGAAGCCCCAGACTGCTCTGCCTTCATACTCCCGCGCAGGGCAGCACTGGCTCTGTCAGCCTAGGCTCGGTCTGTGTGGCACAGTGATGTTACCCACAGAGGCTGGACACTTGCCTGGCAGGGGCACAGGTTGCTGTTGGCCTGTAAGATGACCATCCACTCAGTGTCACCCGTGGAGGCGACACCCCGGAGGCAGTGATGGTGCACTGGGTGGGAGGAGCAGGACATAGGCAGCCTAAGCACAATCGAGGTCTCTCCCTGCCTGGAGTTTGTTGCTGGGTTCCGCTGGCTCAGAGGTGCTTTGCTGAGGGCTGGCAGTGTCCACTAGATCGAGTCTAGAGGCTCTAGGTCCCCACCACCCTGTAGACCAGGCTCTTTGGGAGGGAGAGGATGACCTGGGGTCCTGGCTTCTTTCAAGGAAACCCCCCAGGCTCTGGCCAGGGAAGGTGACCACAGGGCCCTGCAGGACCCATACCCAGGAGTCCAGGGCTCCTCCCAGCAGGTGCGGAGTAGGTGATTTCTGGCCCTCACATCCACAGACAGCGCACGCAGATCAGAGCCTGCAGTTCACATGGAAGTCATTTCCCTCCCAGTGTGGCTCTGTATACTCATCAGCATCCAACAAGACACAGAGACTCCCTGTCTAACTGATGACTGCATTTCAAAGTGTCATCCATGACCTTTTCAATAGTAATAATAATAATAATATTAGCAAGGCTTTGCCTAGAACACATGGCAGATCAAGCCAGGCCTTTTCTCCCTCTTACAGCAGAGGATGATGGGAAGTAGTCTTCTGAGTCCCAGGCACATCTTCAGGGACAGGGGCAGCTCTGGGCAGCACAGAGCAGCACGCACTGTCTGCAGGGCTAACTGCCCAGGGATTCCAGGGAATCTTAAGTGAAAGCGGCAGTACCTCAGGAGGTGGTGCAGCCCGGTTCTGGAGCCCCCACGGCTCACATTTGTCTGTTGGCTCCTTGGGGCCAGTGGCTTCACCTCAAAATGGGACCCCTGACTTTACCTCCCTCTCAGGGTCCTAGAGGGAAATGTGTGGATTAACAAGTGGGACAAACCCTGGCACACAGAATTATTCAGTAAGTGTCATCTACCCTGTGTGTAACAGCTGTAATTTCTGAACTGCTGGAGATGGTGGAAAATGTGCAGATTTTAATTCCAGATTGTGGGTGGGCTGAGGTCGGGATACAAACAGACAATGGCAGAGGAAAGGAGAAAAAAATGACACAGTCTTGTCTGGGCAAAGTTGTGGCAGTGGCTGCTTCTGGAGCAAAAGGGCAAAGCTTACTAAGTCGGAACCCAGGACCCTCCCTTCTCCGGTGCCTCCTCTTCCCTGAAGCGGGCAACAGCTGCATTTTCTGAATGTGGCTTCCATGGCTGTCACCTGGGGATCCCCAAACAAATCAGATGCCTGGGTCCAATCCCCAAGGGTCTGACTCAGTTGGTCTGGGTGTGACGCAGGCTTTGGGCTCTTTAGCCTCTCCTGGGTGGGGATGACAGGTGGCAGAAGGAAGCCGAGCCTTCTCCTGGCAGTGGCTCCTGCAACCATGGAGTTGGTAGATGCTTTTGAAAATTGCACTCGTGCAGGAAGGGGATTGCCTCATTCCTCCCCCACTCAGAGCACACCCCAAGCTGGTGGAGGCCCCTGGTGGGGTGGGCCGGCTCACTCGTGCTCCACATTCCACATGATTAAGGCCAAGGTGGATCACGAGCAATTCTTCCCCTCCCTGGCACCTGTGAAGCCTTGGTGGTGGGGGTGGCGTGTGGCTCTGGGAGCATCTGCTACAAGGCCAGGGTGCTCCCACAGGAGCTTTCCTCTGACCTCCCCTGATGGGGGTGGACTCTCTCACGGCCTCACAGAAGGCACAGGCAGGGGTGTGTGCATGCGTGTGTGTGTGTGTGTGTTTGTGTGCATGTGTGTGTGTGTGCGTGTGTGTGGGGCATGTGTGTGGCTCCGAAGTTTCAGTGGTTTCTATTTCTAGCCTTAGAATTCAAGAATGCTACTAAGGACACTGGGGTCATTCTATCAATACTTGAAGAAAATCACAAGCACTTAAGGAGCAAAATAATATTTTTATTAAAAAGTGTACCATAGCACCTCTCTGCCTTCCTACAAGTTGTTGGATTGTTTTTTTCTCTTTCTTTCTTTTAAAATGAATCTGGTTTTCTGCACAATTTCCGACACTATTATAGGGGAAATCCGGGCCTGCCCTGAGCTCTCTGAATGGGAAGGTGGCACTGGGTGCAGAAGAGCACCTCAGTGCATTTCATGCTGTTCTTGCCTCTGCCTGGACCCTTGTAGATTCCCAGAGCTGAAGGTGCCCATGCCAGGTACGTGGACAGCTGTGCATTGGGGATAGTCGCGCTGTGTGCCCACAACATGTAAAAAGAAAAACCATGCTCCACACTGTGGTGTGACACCAGCACACACTTCACGCCAGGTGAGATCGAGCACAGGCACAGTCTCTAAGACTTTTACAACGACGAGCGCCATCCATGAGGGCAGCAAGTGTACTCAGGTGCTGACTGGGACCCAGTGTGTGTTCTCCCGGGGCTGGAGAGGGAGAGGCTGCCACCCTCCACCTGTCTTCTCCCTCTGGGGTGGGGAAGACAAGCAGGGAGGGGAGAGGTGCAGAGGGGCAGCCTGGACACGGCCGAGTGTCCTGGGAAGGGCAGCGCACCTCGCAGTGCAAGCCTAACCCCCAGCATGGTGTGGCTTCTGTGGGGAGACGCCGGCTGCTGGTTCTGAAGCTCCTGCAGGGCTGGCTTTCAGCTCTGTGGACAGAGAGCAGGAACACCCACTGCTCGCCTCAATTAATGGAACTGTGGCTTGTCCTCTGATCAGAACAGCGGTTTCAACCCATTGTCCATGTTCCTATTCTCCTAGAGACGGGAGGCGAGGGCTGAGCAGGCCTCAGTGTCCATGCTGCTCTGAGGGCAGAAAGCTAACTGGAGGCCCTGGCCCTGCTCCTTGGATACAGGTGGCTCGTTTGGGACAGTTCCTCAGCGTGATGGGCTGGACTGCAGTCAGTGACAACGGTTTGTCAGCAGCCACAGGGCCAGGGCAGCCTCAAAAGACCACTGCGTGTGAAAAAGTTTACTGAGAGCTCAGGGAATATGAGTCTGAAAAAAAAGTGCCACATTGCTGTCATGAGAAACCGAGAGCCAAATGACACCTCAGGCCAAGGCGTCTGGGTGCTGCCTCCGTTCTTTAAAGCAATTTTCCTATGGCTTAAGAGCAAGTCACGGTGGTGGCCCAGCCCTCTGCCTCTGCGGAGCGTTCTCCTCCGGGAGCTCACGTGGCTGTGCTGGGGCCTCTTGTCCACTCCCGCTCTTTAGGGTGGCAGGAGGAGGCAGCTCTGTCCACTGAGGCCACCCCCCCCGCCGCCCGCCCCGGCCCCGAGGATTATGGGTGGCGATTCTCACGCAGAAGTGGCTTTGGGCAGAACATGTAGGATTTTTGGTTTAGAATATTTCCCCTTCCATTCAGAAAAAGAAGGAAGAGAGGGAGGGCAAAAGGAAGAAAGGAAGAGAGGACTCTTCAGCTTGCTATTTTGGGGAAGCTGAAAAGGGTTTTTACCCCACATCAACCTCTCCTTGGCCTCTTCGGGCCACACCCAGAAACTCTGAAAGCAAGGGAGCGAGACAATATCCCCCCTGGCCTACATGAGGCCATGGAACTGGCTTCCCAGTGGCATCTGCCAGGCCATGGCCTAGCAAGTCCCCCCGCTCGGGGCACTGAGGTCCTTGGGAGGACAACGCCCACCCCATCCTGCTGGGTTTGGGTATTGACAGAGGGTCTCCAGTGTCATGTGTCATCAACATGTGGGAAGGTGGGGTGCTCATGAGCACCAGGCCACACATGCTGCCTGGTACCAGGAGTCTCTGCTCACATCCATCCAGACCTGGGCCCTGGCTGAGGAGCTGACTTCAGCCATCTGTCGCAAAAATAATGGGAAAGGCCAGAGGCACAGCTGTGGTCTGAACTCTTAAGTGTTCAAAGGAGTCCACACTATTTTCAGTTAGCTAAAAAAAATTAAAACAGTGACAATTAAAGAAAAACTCTTCCCAGAAAACCCGTTAAGGCTGTAAGGTCGCCTTGGGTGGGGATGGGGAAGCAGCACTGGCAGTCAGAAGCAGGGGCGGCCGGTAAGAGCAAGGCGACAAATGGAAGGGCCGCCCCCAGGTGCACAGGCGGCCCGGGGTGGGGGTGTACTCGCTGACTCAGGGCCGGGTCTCAGAGTTGTTTTGCTTTATTTGGAGACACGGTTGCTTCTCGTCTTTCCCATGTACAAAGCTCAACAATTAATAAAAAGGCACCTGGAGACAGCAAAGACGAATTCATTTCATGTGACATAGTTTAAAAAAAGATAAAAAGATTTAAAAAATACTCTGGTTAACAATGCACACTTCCTACATAACAAGCAACTCTGCGAACACCGGCTCACTTCGCTGTCAGTGGGGTGGGCCGTGTGCTGGCCTGGGAGTGAGGTGGGGGTCCTGTTCCTGCTGGGGCAGCTTGAAAGAAAGAAAGGAAGAAAGGAAAGCCCTGAATATTTCACCACCGGAACGACAGAAGGCAGGAGAAGCCTGGGCAGAGTGCAGGACACCACCTGCAAGTTGCTCATCACCCCCCACCCCTTAAAGCTGATTCCTCGCCTAGGAACTGCCGGGTGAGACCGTTTCAGAACCGGAAACGGCCCAGTTGGGTCACAAAGTTCTGACTGAGCCCAGGTCAAAGCGCCTGCCCGCCACACCCACGAGCAAGTGGGCCAGCAGCCAGGAGCCCGAGTTGTCTGAAGACAGAGCTGGTCCTCAGAAGAGGAGGTAGAGATGGAGCAGGCCCGGGGCTCCATTCATTCCCTTGCCACTTCTGCTGGCTTGGAGGCTGAGAAGCCCAGAGCTGGGCACTGCTGAGCCACTGCACCGGGGACAAACCTTCTCTTAAAAAGAAAAGAAAACAAAGAGCCCTGCTTTCTGCAGTGGTGTTACAAAAAGCCATTAAAAAAACCTTCCTAATTGAAATCTAGTGCTCACGAGTAGGTAAAATCGCATATCAGAGTTTTTTTTTAAACAAAAACCTCAGCTCAGTTCCTGGAGTTGGCTGTCTTAACAAAAATAGACTCCGGAAGGTTCACATCCATCTGCCCGGCCTCGGCACGGTGTCACACGAAGGAGGAGAAGCCGGTGAGGGGGGTGCGGGTGCCCGGGCCTGCTGGGGCGTAGACGCCACCTGAGCTCTGCGTGGTGATGACCGGGGGCGGGTGCTGACCTGTCTCGGCCCCCGCCACCACCTCGTACCTGAGCGGTGCCGCGGCCGGGGGCCTCCGTTTCCAGGAGTTGTAGTAAGTGGGGTCGCTCATGTAGTGGTTGACAAAGGAGTGTTTGGGCAGCGCGTCCTCATAGTCCGAGTCAGAGGCCTGTAGAGGGCAACATGTGAGTGTGTGTGTGGGGGGCACCAGCACTGAGCAGGAAGCAGGAGAGGCCGTGGGGCTGGGCAGCAGGTCACCCAAGACGTGGGTGGTCAGCGTCACCTACTTCCGGCCTTCTGTTTGCTGTCCTGCACGGCCCTGGAAGGGTCTATGTGGCCCACGGGAAGCAGAACCCAGAAACACACTGGAAACAGGAAGGGAACAGTCCTGGGGAAACTGAGGCACCGTTATGGACCAGAGGAAAAGGGGCTCTCCAGCTGCATGGAGGTGGAGAGGCCTCACATCCATGGAGACCCTGGTGGGGCACTGAGAACAGAGGCTGGGGGAATCGCCCGGCACTGAAGACCCCTCACCCTTCAGGGCTGGCAGGAAAGCGGTGCTGGGCATCCCTGGGGCGTCTGAGGGCCCGTCCTGTTCAGGTCTCTGCTCTTCTATAAAATAAGTCAGCAGCTTCCACCAAAAATATATAGTCCACATTTCCTATGCTCATTTTCTTAAGCAAAATTATTTTACAGTCCTTTGAGTTGTTAGAAGAAGCATTGAAGCAGAAGGTGGAGGGAGGGTCTCCTGAGGCCGGGGTGGGGGCTCCCAGTTTCTCTGACCAGTGTTTGGGCCCTTTCACCTGGGGCTCTGTGGCTTCCTGAGCTCATTGGGAGCCACCTGGCAGGGACAGAGCCCAGCACCGGGGGCAGGGCACGGCAGAGGGCCACGGCGCCATAGATATGCCCCCAGCGCCTGCCTGCCCCAGGGCGGCTGGTAGGTCTGTCAAGCTCAAGGAGGGAGCAGGGAAGTGTGACCCAGCAGAGCTTCTCCTCTAAGTCCCTCCCAGGATGAGGGACCTGTCTTGGGGACACGTGGTGTCCTGTTCTAGTCCTTATGCACCTGTCATGGGGTCCTCACAGGGCGTGTCTCCTCCCTGTGCCCCAGGGCCCCATCTCTTGAGGGGTCAGTCCCACTGCCTTTTGCTCCCCAGCAGATGGTGGGGGTGGGCAGCCCACCCGGGTCCAGGGATCACAGCAGCCCAGAGGGCAGGCTCTGTTGGGGCGCGGGGCTGGGGATACATCTGCTTTAGAGCCTCCCAGAGAGCTGGTGTGGTGGTGCACGCCTGTAATCACAGCACTTCGGGAAGCTGAGGCAGGAAGACTTCAAGTTTGAGCCCAGCTTGGTCAACTTAGCAACTTAGTGAAATCTTTTCTCAAAGTAAAAAAGGGCTAGGGATGTAGTTCAGTGTGAATTTCCAGTACCTCCGCAAAAGGAAAAAAAAGCTCTCAGTGGCCAGGAGCTGCTGGGCCACCGTAGGTATTGTGTGGATGAGGGGTGAGTGAGGAGGCTGTGGGCCTGTCACTGCACCTCGTCCAGGTGGTAGATACTCTCGGGAGGAAGAGGACTGGCTGAGGACTAGAAGCTGCTCCCTTCCGCATTTCACATAGCGGACAGGAAGGCTCCTGGCTGCTAGGAACGTTGTTCCTGGGGGCTGCTATTCTGAGAGTGTCCCGGGCCAGGGAGGCCTTCAAGCCCAGGGTGTCACCCTCCTCCATCCTGCAGAATGCGTTGGAGTCTCCTCCCCTGGGCTAGGAGCCCCTGTAGAGCCCTTGGGGTACACAGGGCAGAGCCACAGCCTCCTGGGAGTTTCAGGGAGACTGAAAATGGAAGAGTCACCTGGAAGTGACGGCAAGTCAGTGTCGGGGCTCCTGGGGATACGGATGTGGCCTGCTGGTGCTGTGGCAGTTGAGCACAGCTGCTCTCTTTCTGTGTTTTACTGCCCATGAACGTGGGGCTGACACCACAGCCAGGTACGGAGGCCCAGTCTCTGGGACCCGACTGTAGGGACACACATCTTGGAGGTTCTGTCTCAGTGCACACTCAATACGTTCCAGATTAGCCCAGGAGCTTTGCAGCCATGTGATGGCACTGTGATGCGGGCCAGGCCTCATCCATGTCCTTGGATGAAGAAAGGAGCCAGGTGGGCTGGCTGGAGTCACTGCCAAGCCCAGAACCCTCTGTGGGCAGGTGCTCACTCCCAGCCCCAGGTGTTCCCTCTACATTAGCTGAACCCAACAAAATTCTCTCGCCCTGATCCCAAACCCATGATGCTCTAAAAACCAAAAGCATTCCTGGCAAACAATTGTGTTTTGCTACAGAAATACTCAAGTATTTGATCATGGCCTACCCAACGCAAGGGCACCTGGCACGGACAGAGTCCCAACCTGAGCTTGACTGGCTTCTGAAATACGTTTGGCCTCAAGGGCTTCCGCTGAGAGATCAGGGGCCCATGCCTGTGGCTGTTGTTGAACATACGTCCTCATCTGTTTTCCAGAGGCCCTGAGGTGGCTTAGGAGGCAAAGCTCTGTGTAAACTAAGATGGGGAGGAAAGGGGACAGATCGAGAAAAGCTAGAGGACTGGCTCCACGTTGTCAGCCTTGACCCGAGTCTGCCACATTCTCAGACGCCAACTGTGACTGTGAGTTCTCAGACGTGGAGGGAAAGAAGGATATGTGGAAAAATGTGAGGAATGGGAGGGCAGCTCTGTTCCACAGTTCACAGAGCAGGGCTCCTGCTATTGTTATCCCTTGGGTGCTAGGGCTTCCTGTTCAACTTCCTTGCATTGATGGGGAAGAGTGAGCAGCAGCCACTGGATTCGGTCCCCTCATTTTGGGTCTGAAAGAACCAAGATCTACAAATCCAAGTGGCTTTCTCAGGTCACACCAGCAGGGCCACCCTTGAGCCACAGTCATACAGGTATCTCAGCCAAAGTCATCAGGAACAGAGCCTTCCACGGAACAGAGAGGGGACATCTGCCTGTTCAATAAATGGCCAGGAGACAGCGTTTATGGCAGTGGGTCTTGGATCAAGTCTCTGAGTGGTGGAGGAACCATCAGATTCAGTGGGACCTTGTGCTTCCAATTGCATCTCAGTGATCCAGCCCGATATACCTGGCATCCACTTGATGGCCTCAGACCTCTCTCTGTCCTCCTGAGACCCTTGCTCACCTCTTCCCCTGCAGTGGTAGAGCCACAGGGAGGCGGGTTCCTGGCAGGTAGAACCAGGGTGGGCTGCAGTGGACTGCTGTGTTCTCCCAGGAGTCTGTGTTTCTAAGAGTGAATCCTGAAGTGCTTAGAGAATGGAAATATTCTATGTCCTGTACCCACACATGTATGTGATTAATAAAATGCCATTTTATTCAAGACTCCTTAGGTACATCACTATGTATTTCATCAACTAAATATCTAAACATGCTACAGTATCCAGAGAGGAGACTATGTGGCTGCTGGGGAGGGTCCTGGAAGGAGACACAAGTTGGTGGTACCTTCCTGGCACCAGTGATGTCCCTGGTGTCTGGGCCCTGCCCTCTTGGTAGAAGGAAGCCATACCTCTGCCCCATGGGCTGAATGGATCACCCCTCAGAGAGTAGTGATTGGTTCATGGGTGAGCATGTGACTTCTGCTGAACCAGTCAGAGCCTCACCTGGGAGTGCCCCCCCGCATCTAAGAAGGCAGGGTTCTTAGTGTAGGGACGCAGTGCGAAGTGGGAGCCTAGAGGGCCCCATCCACAGACCTGGCCAAGGGGCTCCAAAAGCCAACCAGACAGCAAAACCATCGTGTAGAAAGGTCACATGGGGGACTGAGAGAGGGTTCTTTGGTTTCTTGCTTTTCATTTGGGCAGGAAGAGTGAGAAGGTACCCAAGGTTGCATGACAGATGTCACTAGAGCTGGAGCTAAAGTCAGGCCTCTGGCTCCAGCTCAGACCTTGCATTGGTTCTTGGTAAATGGTGGCATTAAAAAGCCATCCTTCTGCCACCAGGTCTGTTTATTGTTTATATGACTTATTACTTTTTAATGGGGATGTGTTTTAGTGTGTGAGAATTATTGACAAAAAGGAAATGCTACAGGGTCTTTTTGTTACGTTTCCTGCATGATGTGAAGTCGTGGTGTGCACTGGTTTCCCAGGAAACCATGGAAGGAGGGAATGTGATTAGATGTGGCATCAGACTGTGAGTTCCCAAAGGTGCTCAGCTGCCGGGCCACCAGCTATGAGAGATCAACTCAGCATGTGGGGTCTATGGAAGATAAAAGACTGGAGCGTCGTTAGGGAGTAAATCAGGTTTGGGGTGGGGCGGGTGGTCTAAGTTGGTTGGAGATGGAGGGATTCTAAAAAGCACTTCTTTGGATTTCAGAAACCATTTTTAACATGTGATTAGAACAGCATAAAACTTGTAGCAGCTGTGAGAGGGAACAGGGACAATCTTTTATTTCTAACTGGAGGGACAGTGTGACCCATGGCCTTTGCCACGTGACACTGTGTCATAATGTCCAGCAGCTCTGATTAGGCAGGCTGCTGTGTGTGGTGGGCTGGTGTGCAGAATTTTTGTTTTGGCCGTATTTCTAAAGATGGTAAAAAAAATGCCCTGGGGGAAAAGCACAGCACCAGTGTTTTCCCAGGGAGAACATGAGCCTTTCTGAAGAGTCTTTCTAGCGGAGATGCCGGTGGATTTCTGATGTCTCACCCCCTGAGCTCTGGAGAAGAGCGTGGGCAGGGAGACTCACCTTCCTGCGGTTCGAACCTGCACACACACTGCATTAAGCTGCTAACTGGAGCCCAGGGCAAAGCACGTTCATTACTCTATGCCCAGTACCTAGCTTCTGGTGTTTTGATTTTTGTTGTTGTTGTTTTTTGGGTACTGGGGATTGGACCCAGGGCCTCTGCATGGAGCTGCATCCATAGCTCTTTTTATTTTTTATTTTGAGACAGGGTTATGAAGTCACTAAGCTGCCCAGGCTGGATGTGAAGCTGTGACCCTCTTGGCTCCGCCTTCCTAGAGTGCTGGGACTACAGACGTGTGCCACTCTGCCCAGCCTGCGCTTAAATCTTTATGCACCTCCTGCAGGGAGGACAAACATCTTAACCCTACCTCTCAGGCCTGTGTGAGGCCTGTTTTCAGATGAGGATATGGCTTTTAGGTTCATTCTATTGGCAAGCAACCCAACGTC